TCTGGTGTTGCAAGCTTTATTATAGCCATATACATTGGTGATGTTGTTCTGCCTTTTCACCTGCTGGCATCCTAGTATATAATATTATATTATAAATTTAAAAAGTTGTGAGAATATATGGATACGTCTTTGTTATTCTTTCACCCAAAAATGGCTCGACCGATTTGCTTGAAATTTGGATGTAGATAGGTGCGCGGAATGCTGCTCATGAATATGGACCTCTAGCATTCCTTTAAACTAGTCAAGTATCTCGTCAAATTATTACGTGAGTAAGCCGAAAACATTAATTTAGAATGTCTCACGAAAGTTATACTAAAAATACATAGGAGATATTCAGGCTACGCCTATGACTAAAAAAATGTGATTCCTATAACTGAAACAAAAATTTTTGTTATAGCTATAACACAATTATGCATATTTCAGTTTAGAATGTTTGGTTCAATTTATGTTGATATACTAATATTAAACCTTATTCCTTTACAAATACTGTATAGAACAGTATAGCATAGCATATTCTATTTGATGAACAGTATGATGAATGAATGCAATATGCATTAACAACAAAGCCACAGAGCTTGGTCTTACTTTAGTCAGTATACTATACATACAAATATGTGCTAGTTATATACATATTTCAAAGGATAACATTTTCATATACATATTCGTTCAATAAATTTGAAACTATTGTATTTATACGTGGAACGCATGATTGTATGGGAAATTGTGGCTTCATTTATGAGTATCAGTATTTCTAGTTATAGAATTGAACAGACTCTGTAATGTATACGAATTAAATACATAGTATTTCAGAAATATTTAACTAAACACGCTGCAAATTTTGAGCCAAATGCGTGAAATAAATGCTCCCAATTTTAAAAAAAAGGAATAACGTACCTATTACAATAAAATTAATCCTGTTAGCGGTAGCTGAACCACCGACTGTCGATTCATTCGATTCGATTCGCTCGATTCTATCACAGACTAACTAACTCTCTCTTTGTTTTATCTACATTTTTTATTCCAAACTGGGTGTCATTCATATGTATATAAAATTGTATATTGAGAAACAACTATGAGTTGATATTTTTACAATCTCCCCTAGTCATTTAAATCACTTCCAACGCTATCTGATTCCATACTTTTCCCCCCGGAACAATGTAATTCTTATTATTAAATTCGAATTAGAAATTTTGTTTCCTTTAAAAAAATATCTCTAATTTTTTAACAATAAAGTGCAGTAACATAGTAATACATATCTCCAAATTATATGCTGTTCAAAGATTACAGACGAAGGAGTCTGAAAAACTATTTATTTCTTTCCGTGAATTCTGGCTTTTTTTTCATTAGAACATGAATGCGAACATTTCACTGTTGGTAACAATAGAACTTTTTGAAAAATAAAATTTTCAATTTTTTTTTCATGTTTTGTCAATATTGTAATGTAAAACTAAATAATTTTCATTTTGAGTCATCGCTAGTGGTAAATTTAATTTAAAAAATTAAATTTATTTTATAAAACGTTAATAACAAAACAAAATAAAATTTTCATAATAAAAAAATATCAAAATTTTAATTCTGTAACTTTTAATAAGTTCTCTGCAGATTTTAGGTATTTCTAGCGTTTCACAGAGATGCGATAAATACAAGACCTCTTGGATGTTCTGGAAACTAGGAAAAAGTCTAACAATTTTAATAAATTACTAGCATGACAGACAGGCTACTGCATTTTCTCTAGCGCTTAAAGTCGAGAATGCAAAAACGGATAAAAATCTGCTTCCAATCCAGTGTAGACACTACGGAATGGTGTTAAAGAATTTATCGCGAAAACATCTTAGAAAGCAGAATTTTCTTAACGTTCTTTTTTCTGGATTGTTTCAAATAGTTCAGATGATTTCCTTACATAAATCTGAAGGTAAATACCGATACGGAATTTGAAACAAGTAATCTTTTTAATTAAAGCTCGAAGAATGTTTCAGAATATTTATAAAAGGGAATATCGTTAGGTCTGGAATGTTGGAACTAAATATGGATTTTTATTTTAATCCAAATAAAGTTTTTATTTGGATTAAAATAAAAAATCACACATTTTAAACGCCTCTTTTGGAATTTTTGCTCCATGTTTTATTTTAAGTAAAAGTCTGTACTTTGAAAGCCATTTGATAAAACATTAAAAGACTTAGAAAAAGCCTTAAAGTATGCATTACTAGCTAATCTCGCGTGGTTTCACACGCTGCTCGACTCCATTTCATCGTAGCAGGATGTTTTATAGCCTATAGCACTCAGGAACATTGTAGCTATTTATCAATGAAAGAATTTTAGTAATCCGACCAGCCGTTCCAAAGATTACCCCCTACATACAAACTTACAAATTTTACCTCTTTATAATATTAGTATAGATAATTTACAATTTTACTTCTGCCTATTACGCTAGCTTTAACGTTAATATTCCCCAAATAGGTGTAACACTCAAAATTTCATACACACATTGTTACACGAAGATAAGTAGCGTTGAATAACAATACGAATTGGAGTTCAACCAATCAGAAACATTGAAAAGTTATTAATAAAACACTCCACTTCATTCCCCGCGATCAGCCAGAGAGTTTAACTTCGCGGAATGCCCGACTAAGCAAATTTATGCCCATAAAACCCTCTATGATCTCGATAAACCTCAACTTATTGTTAATGTAATTAAAATTTTATGGATCTCATTTTGAAAATGTGAAATTGAACTTTATTTCCTATATCAGGAAAAACATTTTAGTTTAATTTTTTTGGAGTTTACATAAACAAAATAATAATGAATATTTTAAACATTAATACTTGTATCATAATTTAGATTATTCTATAAAATAGTTCCTTGAAAAAACAAATGTCACATTCTTTTTTTGTTTCGTTATCATATTAAAAGAAGTCGATTGGTGAACACAGTCCTACCCCAATTTGTCTGGTTCGTTGTCCATACATTACATACGTAAATATTATGTAATCTTAATTACCAACAGCGTGTGACTACATAAGATAGCCTAGGGACGCGACACTAATTACTACATGTCACAGAGTAATATAAACCGAAAACAAGCTTTGATGTGCGTATTTATTATGTAATTTGTTCGAACACTTAGGAATTGGAGATATGAAGTACTAATATCGAATCGTTATTAACACTAGTTCGATTATCGAATACATTAGTTACTATATTTTAAAAATAATTATACGTATGTATATTATATGTCTGTGTGTTGTACTCGGCGATGCTTGGTGGTACGTTAAACTATTCCTTCGTAAAAATACAATAGCTACTGACCGGGTTGAGTAACCGTTTAATTGCTAAAAACGGTGAGTACTGAAGAGTAGATATGAGTTACGGATACTATTTTTACTTTCCTAATTCTTAGTATTTTATAATAATAGTCAGCGGGCCAGATTTGAATTGACATTTTCACTTGAAAAATCCACTGTAATAGAACTACAATAAAATATTAGTTAAGCTTACTTCGTTATTCTTCAGTTTTCTCTATTCCCAAGACAGTTGAAAAGAAAAACTTTTTTAAAGCAAAAACAAAATTTTCTACGATACGAGTAACACAGAGTCCTACTCAAAATTTCCCTTTATAGGTGGTATTTTGTTTGAAGCTTACTGGATCAGATCAGATTACCTGAAAAGGGTCAATGTTAATACTGTTATTGTAGGACTAAAGTCTAGTCATTCGAAGCTTAAGGCTTTAGTTTTAGAAAAAATTAAAACTTTTTAGTGTAAATTGCTCAATTTTTCGTGGTAGCCCTGAGGTTATGACGTGTATTTCCCATGCATCAGGCTGGTTTAAAACGTCGCAAGTATCAATGTGACTTTTTCGAGTTATATAATAGAGTCTATAAGTATTTTATAATTTCTCTAAATTATATTGTTTATATATTATATAGACTCTCATTGGCTATTAATTTATCATTGACATAGACGTTTAAAAGAATATGGTTACGAAAATTTAACTTACAGCTTTTACTTTTAAGTGTGAAATTGGCCACCGCAAGCGCGGTGATTAATCTTCAACAACATTTTCCGTGTGAGAAAAAATCGCTCAGTAGTAAACACTAATAGGATAATGATGAAGATGATGATCATTTTGTGAATACATTTCGCAGAAATGGACCCGATTCGATGCAATATTGGTTTCTAGCTTGTATTTCGTAGTTAGGAAATCATTAATTGGTGGAATTAGTGGGGAGAAATTCGCAATCCAATAATCTAGTTACATTTGGAATTTCGTAATGTTGTTCGGTTATACGAATTTGTACCATACAGCAATGGGAATCTATTTAATTTAGCGACTAATTGCATGACATGATATGTTCATTCTGTAAATCAATGCACGGCTGGTTCTTTTAACCAAATAGCTACAATATAATTTGTTAGACCTCGCCTTTCCAAGTATATTAAAAAACTTCATTTTTATAAGTATCATAAACAATAAATCTAAGATTTTTATGAACGAATAATGACGAAGAATTATAAAAGCCATCCCATACCAAAAATAATGTATGTGGCAAAAATCTTGTAAAGAATCTCTTGTAAGAATTCAAAATTTTCTATGAAAATCTAAACGCGACAGGCTGACTTAAACGCACGACCTCTTTGAAAAGTGTTCGCATAGTTGAAGTTCCCGTTCAGGAACGAGGAACGAGAATGTGGATAAAACGGTTATACAGCTAGTACGAGTAAAATAACTTTGAAATACTTCGATGCTGTAGGTAACTTTAAAAAAATACAACTTGCTAATACTGTGTATAAATTGCCGTGAGACTGTTATGAGAGTTATTTTATTAACGCATTAAAGGAATGTGTTTAAATAGAAAAAAAGTTGCTTTTTTATGGTGTAAGTCGGCAAACGAGCAGACGGATTACCTGATGGTAAGCAATCGGCGCCGCCCATGGACACCCGCAACACCAAAAGAAGTTACGAGTGCGTTGCTGACTTTTTGGGGATAGGGGTTGCGGATATATGGATCTGGAAGGGATAGAGGAAGGGGAGGGATTAGGCCTCCGGTAACCTCACTCACACGGTGAAACACAACGCTGTGGATTGTTTCACGCCGGTTTTCTGTGAGACCGTTGTATCACTCCGGTCGAGCCGACCCATTCGTGCCGAAGCTTTGCTCTCCCACACTTTGCTAGTTGCTAGTGTGTATTATTTTCCTGCTATGTAAGACAGGCACCACTAAGGGTTTGTTTCACAAGCCACTATCTACATGATAAATTTGGATTAGGAAACAAAATTTCATGAACTGTCTGCCACACTAGGCCCTTAAAATTATACAAATAAGACATATTATTGCCTACTGCATCCATTAAATAGTGAAGAAATTTTGTATCAGCATTGAAGCTGGGGCGGTTCGCTATTAATAAATAATTATATAATGTTATCCGCATTTCGCCAGGCATTTTATTAGTCAGTAATTTCAAGAGGGTGAGCCTATTGACGTAAACCGGTGTGCTGTATACTGTCATAAAGTTATTATTAGACCGACCAGTCTTCATAATATTGCTGATAAGTTAATGTTTTATTGCCTCATTGTTGGACCCAAAAGATGAACATTTAGTTGTGGGATCACAAACACAATATTTTTTTAAATGATATCCATATATAACAATTCAAACGAAGTTAACTATACATTCAATTTTTTTTATATTTGTAATGTGTATTAGTCGTGAAAAGTGAACCTTCAAAAATTCGTTGAGTTTTGATAAGTGTTATGGAAATGTATGATATCCATTTGTGAATTTTCAATCATAACACTTATTTTCCCCTTGAATGGACATCTTACTGTAAAAACTGCAATTTAAATCCAGGGAAAAATTATTCATCTATACTAATGTTCTAAAGAGGTTAAAATTTATAAGTTTGTATGTAGGGGGTAATCTTTGAAACCGCTGGTCGGATTGCCAAAATTCTTTTACTATGAGATAGGTCCAATGTTTCTGAGTGCTATAAGCTATAAATCATCACGCTACGATAAAATGGAGCAGCGGGTGAAACCGCGCGAGAATAACTAGTGTTCTATAAAATATGTAATTCTTGTTATCTCAATATATAATTAAATAATCTGTATCATGTTATGTTCTAAATTCGGTCGGGAGTATCCCATATACTGCAAAGTTAATAATAGTACGGGGTGTGGTTAGCTAGCTGTTTAGCTACTTTCAAGTTTATAGTCATCTAGATCAGGAATTAACCGTTACCTAACTATCTTATGAGTGGATAAAATGAATAAAATTGTAGTCATGAATGAAGAATTATTTACATATATATATATGTATATATAACGCCCATATCCTATTGGTAGGGCAGAGACAATGCAGGGCGAAACAACACCACTCTAACATACCTCTTTCACCTCATCTATATTAATTAATGTCTTCATGCATACTTGTCGATTAAGGGTGCTTTTAATTTGATTTATTATTAAAGTATTTGATAGATATCGATCACATAGGCCCTTATTTAAAAAAAATGTCTATACTTATCAATCAATTTGATAGTTTTCTTTTATTACTCTTATCTAATAACTTTTTCTTTGTTTAGGCGACTGGCGGAGATTTCCTTCAAAACTGGCAGCCCATCTTTTGCGACGGTTTGCGGTGGTATTGGTGCGGCTTTCGTGTCCCTGATCGTGCAACTTGAAGTACTGGTCGAGATGATGAGCATTGGTAAGTACTGACACTTACAGGTTTATTGGGCAGTTGAATATTTAAGGGTTCAACATTATCAATAAACTGTGAAAGAACCCTGCCTTATCCACAAAGGAGGGTTTTATCAATATCTCCACGCTTGACAAGCATGTCGAAGATCGTTAACAATGTTTATCACAATAGAAATGAGAACATGTTGACTGCCTAATCTCTGTTAAATTAGCAACTGCCTTATGCGATACTTGCGATACTCGCAGGTTGATATGGACGACAGAAAAATTACTTTCATGTACTAGCAGCCACGACTCGATACAGGTTACAAATTTCTAATAGTTTTTTGGATGAAGCATTATGGAATTTTAGTTTAAAGAACCTAAAGACTGCACGGCTATGCCTTTGGAATATGTTTTTTCTGAGTATTTTGTTATTGTTAATAAACGTACAAAGCACATATTACATTACATTCAGACCTGGAACAATAAGTTTTGGATCACACAAAGAGTTGTTGCCCTCGGTTGCCCAGCGCCAACTACTATTATTAACTACGATCAATTGGCTACCTGATACAAAGGTCGAGATTTTGATAGTATGGTAGCTGATCAAGAGGTATCTATTCTAATCCTCTAACCGTACTATTGATTTTATTCAACAAAGATCTTAAGTAAAATGTGAAAATATTTTATTCACCGCAAAAACTCTTCACTTAGGTACATAGTGTCTTTCGCAACTTGGCGCCATTAGACGAAGTTTTATTAAAAAGGTATCGTTTTTCTCGACATTCTCAAGCTTTTAAAATTCCTTGTGTTTCAAAATGGATCCTGTTACTTACTGTATAATATTATTTCGGAGCGCACTCTTTATGAGGTAAAATTATCGTAAAATAAATATTAAATCATAAATCATTTATTTTTTTGCAAACATGGGTAATTGACACATTGATGTTTTCTATAAATATTTATAGCTTATATAAAAATGAATACATCATCATATCACAAAATCAGTAACTATTTATCCCACAAATATTACCAATGGGAAAGTTTGTAAGAATTTCACTTTCACATATATTTTTTACATTTCACATAGATAGAAATTTCCTGGATTAACACATAGGCTACTTTAATATACAAGCCACGCGGGTAAAGCAGCGGACGGAAGCTAGTATTAAATATTTCAGCAACCTCATATAAAAACATCTTCTCTCATCATCTGTTTTTAATGCCATCACCTAAACTATCTGTCACGTAAACAATGCGCACTCACAGCATCGAGGAGTTACTTGTGCATTGCTGACCCAAGTTTTAGAATAAGGATTATGAGAATAAAAATTGGAAATAAAATCGGGAAAAGAGATGAATTGGCTCCGGTAGCGTAATGAAACCCAAGCTTTTTTTTACGCCGGTTTTCTGCAAGGTCGTTGTATCACTCTAGTCGGGCTGGCTCACTAATAAATAACAAAGTAGATACCTACATACATAGATCAACATATCTCCATAAAATAAATAGAAAGACATAACAATCTTCAAGACAAGTTCAAAGCGCTGTCATTTAAAATATGTGCCATTAAAAATCCTCGAAAAACAAAGTTCTAAAGCTGTAAAACCTTAAGTTAGAAATACGTGTGTTTTACTGCAGCAATTACCTCAACTTAGTTTCCAACAAGTAAGATACTTATTTCCGATAAATGAGACCAAATAGCTCTTAACTGGAATTGTATACAATTTCACCCGTTACTTATTTACAGCTTAGTTACACTGTAGTGGACACTTGTAACCTTTTCCGAGAATAGAAATTTAAATTAACATTAGAATAAATAGAGAATAACTAGCTACTTCTTGCGTTTTTGCCCGTTTTCCCAGAATCAAAGATACCAGGTATATTACAATTATGTCAAATGTCATAAAAATCTGTTTATTCATTATTACGCGAAAAAATAACATGCATTCTTTAATAATAGTATGATTTTTTATTTTTATTTATTTCATACAGGATAAATAGATTGGGTAATATTCGTAGGTAAATAAGTAATAAAAAAAATGGAATTACTTTTCACAAAAATATAAAATTTTAAGAAAACCAATTTATAGATGTTTACAAATAATATAATCAATCATTGAAAGTTCAATGTTTTATAAAGCAAAGTAAAATGAAAATTAGATTTCTCGATAGTGAAGTAGTTTCATAGCGACGTAGCAATTTCGTAGCAATCTGCTACGCTGACCTACACATACGTAGCTGAGACCAGAACATAACTTACTAAGATTTTTATTTATTTACTGTTGCCCTAAACAATCATGAAATATCCTACTTGTGTGTCATATTCATATAGAGGGTAAATATAAGCTTATTATTTATATACCTCATCAATACGAACTTCTTTTTTTGAATATTGATTACTTTTCCATTTTTAATGAGCTGCTGAAAAATAGAAAACTATTCAAGTTGTTTTACCTTTAATTGATATCTACTGACACGACTAAGCTAAAGTTACTGAATTCATGTTTATCGATATCCAGTATTTTACGTATTTTCGATCAACATTATTTATTACCGGATCATAAAAATGACATTTTATTCCAACTAGCATCTGGTCGTATCAAACGATTTTTACTACTGGAGCCATAAAAATTAAATTTCGATACGAATTTATGTGATAAAAGGAAATAAAATTTTATCAGAGTTTTAATTTTTTACAATGCGGATCGATATTTGGTATTAACGTACAATATTACATCATATCCTAATCCTAATCCCTACAATTTTATGTCACTTAAACGTATGCGGTTTAATAAAGTAATACTTACTAACAAAACTTAAGGTTTTTTTGTCAGAGGAAAATTATCAAGTGACTTCTCCCAGGAAAAAGCGAGAAAGATTGTCAAACTCTTACTGTCTAAACCACCTCTTCTACTCTGTTCCTTCTCCTGCTTTAGATCGAGGCTGCGGTGCCACATTGTGCTTACCCTAACCTCGGCTGAACATTACACACAGGTCTATTGGCTCTTTGATGCGCGCGCGAAACGCTACGCGCCGTACGCACGGGTCTGATTGTGATCGGGCGGCGAGCTACCATTACTCGCCGTCCGCGTTAGACTCGCGCTTACGGAGGCTGGAGATCGTCTCTTGTACTGAAGGATTAAACCTGAAAATTCGCCTAGTTATAATAGTAACCAGATAATAAATACCAAATCAAATTATTCATACGCCGTTAACAAATTGCTAAATAAAAATAAAATTAACAAATTACTAGCTTTTACTAACACCAATTAAACGAACATATAAAAAATTGGCTCAATAAAATACCAGTTAGATTGCCCTCGACTATTTTTACAACTGTGGTCGATTGAAAACTATAAATATGTATTTGTCATAATGAAATTAAATTCTAGCTTTAACATGGTTTACATTCAGTTAACGAATGATAAAAAACGAAAAATATGTGGTGTGTGTGTCATTTTGGGATATACATATATTATCAAGCAGCTATGGAAATAAGCACGCCTACAATAACTATGCCCTTAAAAGTCTCATGTCTGCCGGATAATATGACAGAATAATAAACACATTGATAGACATAGCCACAGCAAATAAAACTGTGTTACATTGTGTGCCTCTGCCTAAGAACTTTCCCCTTCTAGGATCAAAAGCTAAGCCATTATAGTCGTTCACTTCACACACCATCCTACCTAACTTAGAATATTAGATCAATTACAGACCCAACGTAAGCACTGAAAGCCATATCTAGATCAATATCGTATTCCGTTGAACTGGCGCTCAACCTCTCAGCGATGTGGTTTTGACTAATACCCGACCATTAATCGCATATACGATTATCTTACAAAATTAATCAATACCTATATTATATTAATCACAGCTTCGGTGCCAGATATATCTTAAGCCGATTATTCCACATACAGAAGCTCTCCGCTTAATTAATCGAATGAATTGTTTACTGCGTCTAGTTAAATTGTCAGATGCACTATGAATTTGAACGAAATGAACCGCTTTTGAGCGGGTGAGATGTAATTAAGAAACAGATGCATCGTTACGGAGTAAATTTTCCATCTTGTGAGCGTCTTAGACGTGTTTTCATTATTAGAGAAAATAGGTGCAAATAATCATTTATTATGTTGTAGAGTATGGCTTTTAAAACCACCTCACACAAACCGCATCAACTAAGTTGTTGGTGACAAAAACTAAATTACATATTTTGGTTTTGACTGGTCTCATCTGATTACTCAGTCAATAGTTTTTATTTGTAATATTGGCAACAAATTATAGCGTGTGAGTCCTTAACTGTTAATAACTAATTAATGTACTCAATTGTATGGTATTACAAACGATACTATATTCCATAGTTCTTTAGAGTTGATCAAACCCAATACCTAAGGTCAAACAAATATATCCAAAGTAAGTAACGAATTGACAACAAAAAAAGTACAACCTAAAAAATCTATTCTTTTGTATATTCTAAGTGTTATTTTAACCAACGAAAAATAGTTTATACTAGCTAGGTTTTATATTCAAACCACGTATCACAGTCTTCAAAATGCTTACTACGTTCTTATTCACTAAATCTAATTATCTTCGTACTTTGAGATGAATACGCTGCAGTGTTTAGTAATGCGTTGCGCGTGCGACGCGAGTGCGTGCGATGCGTTCATCAGGGTCTAAAATGAAGGGAGAAAATTGTATTAGTACCTTCTCATACCTTTCGCTACATGTTGCACATTTAATTTTAAAGCGTACACAACGTTTGATGAAGAGCTTGTGACTTGAATAACTTTAGATACCAACTTGTAATTAGTATTTATTTAAGTGTGGGAAAGCCATGCTTCGCCACGAATAAGTGTCGGAGAACCATTCTTCGGCACAATTGGGTCGTCCCAACCTGCTACCACGGCCTCACAGAAAACCAGCGTGAAAAAACCATAGCTTTCTGTTTCGCCGTGTGAATGGGGTTTTCCTTCCCCTTCCTCACTCTTTCCGTAATTGCCAAAATTTCCAAATACCAAATCCCC